GAATGACAATAATGAGACAACATACCAAAACTTATGGGATGCAGCAAAAGCAGTTCTTAGGGGAAGTTTTATATCTCTAAATGCTTACATAAATAAAATAGAAAAAGAGGAGATCAATGAATTGGGCATACAACTAAAAAAGCTAGAAAAAGAACAAATTAAAAATCCTCCATTAAACACCAAATTAGAAATATTGAAAACCAAAGGAAAAATTAATAAAATTGAAATTAAGAAAACTATTGAACTAATAAATAAAACTAGGAGCTGGTTTTATGAAAAAACCAATGAAATAGATAAACCTTTGGTTAATTTAATTAAAAAAAAGAAGGAAGAAAACCAAATTACTAGTATCAAGAATGAAAAGGGTGAAGCTACCACCAAGGAAGAGGAAATTAAAACAATAATTAGGAATTATTTTGCCCAACTATATGCCAACAAATTTGACAATCTTAGTGAAATGGATACATATTTACAAAAATATAAATTGCCCAGATTAACAGAAGAGGAAGTAAAATACTTAAATAACCCCATCTCAGAAAAAGAAATTGAACAAGCCATTGATGACCTCCCTAGTTAAAAATCTCCAGGGCCAGATGGATTTACATGCGAATTCTTCAAACAATTAAAGAACAATTAATTCCAATACTATATAGACTATTTGGGAAAATAGGGGAAGAAGGAGTCTTACCAAATTCTTTTTATGATACAAATATGGTGCTGATACCTAAACCAGGAAGAGTCAAAACAGAGAAAGAAAATTACAGACCAATTTCTCTAATGAATATAGATACAAAAATTTTAAACAAAATATTAGCAAATAGATTACAGCAACTTATCACAAGAGCAATACACTATGACCAGGTAAGATTTATACCAGGAATGCAGAGCTGGTTCAATATTAGGAAAACCACCAGCATAATTGAGCATATCAACACCAAAACTAACAGAAACCACATGATCATCTCAATAGATGCAGAAAAAGCTTTTGACAAAATACAACACCCATTCCTATTAAAAACACTAGAAAGCATAGGTATAAATGGAGTCTTCCTTAAAATAATAAATAGTATCTATCTAAAACCTTCAGCAAGCATAATATGTAATGGGGACAAGCTAGAAGCATTTCCAATAAGATTGGGGGTGAAACAAGGATGTCCATTATCACCAGTGTTATTCAATATCGTACTGGAAATGTTAGCTTTAGCAATAAGAGAAGAAAAAGAAATTGAAGGTATTAGAATAGGCAAAGAAGAAACAAAGCTATCACTCTTTGCAAATGACATGATGATATACTTAGAGAATCCTAGAGAATCAAGCAAAAAACCACTTGAAATAATAAACAACTTTAGCAAAGTTGCAGGCTATAAAATGAACCCACATAAATCATTGGCATTTCTATATATTACCAACAAAGCCCAACAACAAGAGATAGAAAGAGAAATTCCATTTAAACTTACTGTAGACATTATAAAATATTTAGGAGTCGACCTCCCGAAACAAACCCAGGAACTCTATGAACACAACTACAAAACACTTTTCATGCAAATAAAGTCAGATCTAAATAATTGGAAAAACATCAGTTGCTCATGGGTAGGCTGAGCTAATATAATAAAAATGACAATTCTACCAAAGCTAATTTACTTATTTAGTGCCATACTAATCAAACTACCAAAAAATTATTTTATAGAGTTAGAAAAAAAAATAACAAGATTCATTTGGAAGAACAAAAGGTCCAGAATATCAAGGGAACTAATGAAAAGAAATGCAGGGGAAGGTGGCCTAGCCATTCCAGATCTTAAATTGTATTATAAAGCAGCAATCATTAAAACTGCTTGGTACTGGCTAAGAAATAGAGTGGTGGATCAATGGAATAGGTTAGATATGCAAGACACAGTAGTCAATGACTATGGTAATCTATTATTTGATAACCCCAAAGACCCCAGCTTCTGGGATAAGAACCCACTCTTTGAAAAAAATTGCTGGGAAAACTGGAAAAGAGTATGGTAGAAACTAGGCATAGACCAAAATCTCACACCATAAACCAAAATAAAGTCAAAATGGGTTCATGATTTAGATATAAAGGCTGATACTATAAGCAAACTGAGAGAGCAAGGAATAGTTTACCTATCAGATTTATGGGGAACAGAAGAACTCATGACCAAACAGGAGACAGAGAAAATTATGAAAAGCAAAATGTATAATTCTGATTACATTAAATTGAAAAGTTTTTGCACAAACAAAGCCAATGCAACTAAGATTAGAAGGAAGGTAGAAAATTGGAAAACAATTTTTACAACCAGTCTCTCTGATAAGGGCCTCATTTCTAAAATATATAGAGAACTAAGTTAAATTTATAAGAGCACAAGCCATTCCCCAGTTGATAAATGGTCAAAGGATATGAACAGACAGTTCTCAGATGAAGAAATTAAAGCTATCTGTAGTCATATGAAAAAATGCTCTAAATCATTATTGATTAGAGAAATGCAAATCAAAACAACTCTAAGGTACCAGATCACGCCTATCAGATTGGCCAACATGACAAAATAGGAAAATGATAAATGTCAGAGAAGATGTGGGAAAATTGGAACACTAATGCATTGTTGGTGGAGTTGTGAAATAATCCAACCATTTTGGAGAGCAATTTGGAACTATACCCAAAGAGCTATAAAAATGTGCATACCCTTTGACCCAGCAATAGCACTTCTAGAGCTATATCCCAAAGAGATCATACAAAAGGGAAAAGACCCACATGTACAAAATATTCATAGCAGCTCTTTTTGTGGTGGCAAAGAATTGGCAATTGAAGGGATGCCCATAAATTGGGGAATGGCTGAGCAAGTTGTGGTATATGAATGTAATGGAATACTATTGTGCTATAAGAAATGATGAACAGGTTGACTTCAGAAAAACCTGGAAAGACTTTCATGGTCTGATGCTGAGTGAAGTGAGCAGAACCAACAGAACATTGTACACAATAACAGACACATTGTACGATGACTAATAGTGATAAACTTAACTCTTCCTGGCAATACAAGGATCTAAGACATCTCCAGAGGCCTTGTGATGGAAAATGCTATCCACATCCAAAGAAAGAACTATGGAAGTTGAATTGCAATTTTTTTTCTCTTCTGTTGAGTATTGTTTCCTCTTTCTGATGGCTCCTCCTATTGGTTTTAATTTTTACTTACAACATCACTAATGTGAAAATATGTTTAATAGGAATGTAAATGTATAGCCTATATCAGATTGTGCACTGTCTTGGGGAGGGTGGTGGGGAGGAAGGGGGAGAAAAATTTTAAACTCAAAAGCATATGGAAGTGATTATTGATAAATCAAAATAAATTAATAATAAAAAAGAAAGAAAAAAAAAGAACTATAACTGATATGGAAGTGACCCAGAGAGAACAGTAACTGACCTATCCATCAGAGATGCTGTATGTTAGGAAGACCAAGCCTAGCTGAGCAGCTGGTACAGATCATATGTCCACTGCTAAACTTCATTAGGACTCTTCCAAGAAAGATAGGACACTGAGGCCTATGAGTTAGGGAGAGTTGCCTTGGTCACCTGGGTATCTCACTACCTTAAGTTTATACTGAACTCTCCCCATGGGCATGGAATATATTTAAGAGAGAGTTCATCCCAGGTTTAAGTACAGGGATGTTTGTAACTACTGCTCATGCTATGCTATTTGAATAAATGCCTTTGGTAAGAGCTAATTGAATCTACTTGTGCACTTGAGCCTGTACATGTAAGTATATACAGAATATATACAAAATGAATATAAGCTAATTATGGGAGGAGCAGCTGGGGGCAACAGGAAAGGCTTTATGTAGAAGGTGGCACTTGAGCTGAGTTTTGGAGGAATTCAGGTATTCAACGAAGCAAAGATGAGAAGGGAGAGTTTCCAGGCATAGGGTACAGCCATTTCATGGCACAGAGATGGGGAATGGAATATTTTGTGTGAGGAACAGCAAGTAGGCCAGTGTGGCTGGACCTGGGAGTAATGTTTAAGAAGACTGGAAAGGTCAGGGGTCGGGTGTGTTTCCCTTCTATTAAACACTGTGTAGGGTGGTGGGGGATGGGGATGGTTTTGGAGTAGAGAAAGGAAATACTGTGGTTCTTGCCTGTAAGGGAGTCCTTAGTCTGAAAGGAGAGACATAAGTCCCTGCCCTTGGTTGGATAACTATTGGTGTGCTAGTGAAATAGTGTCTCCACTTTCAGAGAATTCCAAGTTTGATGAAGACAGACAGACATGAAAATTAATTAAATTTAAGCATAATTTCAATAAACTTCAGAATAGAGAAGAGAATCAGTAGGTTAAAGTTATGCAGTAAACAAATAAAACAAAATACTGGCTTTGCAGAATCCCAGCACTCCTCTTTAATGAGCAGGTCATTTCACCTTTCTTATACTCATTCTCATCTTTAAAAACTAGAAGGTTGCAACTGTATGATCTTGAAAGTATCTACCAGCTCTGACTATTACGATCTCATTAGGAAAGTCTTCCTGAGGATGAGGAGTTTCAGTGGAATTATGAAGGCAATGGATTGACAACACTGCTTTTACCCATTTTGTCTAAATGAATTTCTGAGGACTGCCTCTTCAGTCTCTAGCTTGCATTCTCCCGTTTTTCTCCCCTCTATGATCAGTTTCTGTTATTCCTTTTATATCTTTCTCCAGACTCAGATTCATTTCTCTTTCCTGGTCCTACTCCCTACTCCGACTCCTGAATCTTTATTTACCTGGCTACCCCTCCACAACTTCCCTTCCCATCATACATTTCCACAAATACCTGATTCCTTCATTTTCTACTGAAGCACTTACCACTGGTGTTCTCCATTTCCTCTCACGGTTTTGATGAGTTTTCACATATCACCTCTCCCCCAGCCTGCTCCCCCCACTGCTGTGTTCCTCTGCAATGTTCTTAAAGGGGGTTAGTGTGGAATAACAAACATTAAAGAGGGAAGAGAGTGAGATGAATAATATGTGCTTCCCTCAGAATAAGGAGATGGCCAAGGAACTAGCTGACCCCAAGGCAGAGGGAATGATGGATTTATCTGAGGAGCTGAAGATAGTAGTGATGAATAACCTGACCAACTCAGAAGTCAAGAAACAAACAGGTCAGATGGATGAAAGCTGTGCCACTAACCAACTGACAGAGGGAAAATCGGGTAAGAGGAAGAAATTAAGGAACTAATCCCTCTGATATCCCTTTCTGAATTCCCTATTTCTGCCTTGGTTGAGATCTTGCATGTTTGTGACAGGTCCAGGGCACATCTTGAGCTCAGTGAGGAGGTCTGTAGCCAAATGAGAACAGATGGTCAAGGATAAGTGGTTGTCCTTTTATGAAGGAAAAGGATTGAAAATCTGAACCTGAGAGAGGGGGCAGCCTGTGCCTGACACTGGATCATGAAATCGCTCTAGACAATCCAGCACCATTCTTGCCCTTGCCCCTGCCCCTGCCCTTGCCCCTGCCCCTGCCCCTGCCCCTGCCCCTGCCCCTGCCCTTCTTAGAGCTGAAAAGAGGAGATCCCTGTAGGGAGTTGAGGAGAAAGGTATGTTTTCTTACCTGACAGAGACCACTTCTTTGCCTTTACTTTATTCCCACCACTGCTGTCGCTGACCCTGTTCCAGAGTGCAGAAGAAAGGAGGCTGAAGTCCATATGTACAATTTGAGGGAACGAAAGTATCAAGTGTACCAAGAAATCTGGGACCCTCAGGATGATGACTACCTCTGTGAGTAGCCCTCCCATTCCTCTCTATCATTCCTAGTGCGAAGATGCCAACCCTGCCAGATTTCTCAGGATCAGGATAAACATTTAATAATGATGCCATCTAGTAGCTTCAAATTCACAGTCATACTTCTTCTCTCCGCAGGGGCTTGTGGGCTTCCAAACTAATACTTAGTTTCAGCTGTTCCTAATCCTAGTCTCCATTGCTTGCCTTCTGCAGTCTGTGAGGAGTGTCAGACTTTCTTCCTGGAAACCTGTGCTGTTCATGGGCCCCCAAAATTTGTCCAGGATAGTACCATGATCAAAGGACATCCTTATTGTTCAGCCATCACCCTGCCCCCTGGCCTGAGAATTGGGCTTTCAGGGATCCCTGGTGCAGGACTTGGTGTATGGAATGAGGCCTCAAATCTACCCCTGGGTCTGCACTTCGGGCCCTATGAAGGGCAAATGACAGAGGATGATGAGGCTGCCAACAGTGGATACTCATGGATGGTAAGATCGACTTCCACTGTTGCCCTCTGGCCCTCTTCTTCTTCCCCTCAATCCCAGTCCCTATTCTTGTAGGGCACTGCTTACTATACGAATGCAACTCAGGCTGATAATGGCAAGTATGGCGCACCTGGGCTTTCAAGGCTCTGTCCTAGGTACTGGTTAGGAGAAGATACATAGGAAGGAGAAGACCAGGTCCCAGGCCTCAGGGAGCTCCTGGTCTGATGGGGGAGACATATCTTTCATCCACTGAGGATTCCTCCTCCTCTATCCTGTTAGGACAAGGCAGGACAGATACATGCAAAAGATCAAGCTCCGTATCAGCACATTTAAGCTATCAAAGTGTAAACCGAGTCAGTCCAAACTGAAGAGATGCAGAGTAAAGGGGTGGCAGTCTGCATATGAAAATACATAGACTTAATGTTATTCCCTGAATTCCAGATCACCAAGGGGAGAAACTGTTATGAGTATGTGGATGGAAAAGAGGAGTCTTGCTCTAACTGGATGAGGTGAGAAAGCTGGACTCCAAAATCTAAATAGGTCAGCCCCCAGGGAGGTGATTTGGCTCCCTAACAGACAGACCTCTACCCCATCTGCTTTTCCAACTTTGATTTGCCACCTCCAGGCCTTTCCTTTCTTTACCCAATAACCTCTTTACTTATCTTGGGTCTGGGAAAAAAAAAAAATCCTGTCCAGTTAAAAAGTATTGAGTGCACCTAGCCTGGAGCTCCTGTGAGACCATCCCTGCCTTCCCCACTGCACCTCCCCCAGCCCTCCTCCCCACGTAAAGCAGTTAACAAGCCACAGTTGACTATATGATTAAGTTAAGGGAATAGCTTAGTAGCATGAATGTATGGGGCATGTGTGAACATCAGGCAACAAAGGTCCAGTGGGGTGAGACCTTTACGGAGGGTAGTGAAAGTCTGGATGAAGAATTGGGATTTGCCAAGAGAAGGCTGTATTTCAAGCCAGTGTTTTCCCTTCCCCATATGCCAACCTCAGGTATGTGAACTGTGCCCGAGACGAGGAGGAGCAGAACTTGGTGGCATTTCAGTACCGCAGACAAATCTTCTACCGGACCTGCCAGGTCATCAGGCCTGGTTGTGAACTCCTCGTCTGGTATGGGGATGAGTATGGTCAAGAACTGGGCATCAAGTGGGGCAACAAGTGGAAAAGGCCACTCACTGCTTGGACAGGTGAGCAGCTAGGGTCTTGTTTTAGTATCCTTTCTGCATAGGACCTTGGGCACAGAAGTTGATAAAACATGAGTTATATCCAGATTCCCTGCCCATAACAGAGTAAGACCTAATCAATCCAGAATTCTATTGATTAGCAACAATTTGGATGACAATATATGGGATTTTGGGGCACGGGGGTGGAGAACAGAGTTTAGATCTGTGATTTCATCTTTGTATGGAGCTCCCAGTGTACAAACTCCTTCCTCCAGGGCACACTGGCAACTTGTCTGTAATCTGTCTTAGTTGCCTGATGACACTGAAAGGTTAAGTGACTTGCTTATGATGTACCCAAGTCAGGGATAGTGCGTGAACCCAAGTCTTCCTGACCACAAGGTCAGCTCTCTCTCTATGACACCTCTCATGACATTTATTGAACCAAAATATTAAAATAACTTTTTCCTCTGAATTTTCCTCTTCATAGAGGATCAGTATTCTTTCCAACCAAATCCTCAAAAAATTAAGGATTCCTTCTATCTCCAGTCTAGGAATTTATTTTTATGTAAAAAGATGTTTGCATTTATAAGGTAGGCTCTGCTGAGTTACCATTTTTCATTAACTTCATTTCATTTATAGGTTTCTTACTTTATAACATATTTAAAGGTAACCAAGTTGCATTCCTTTGTAAGTTTTTATAATTCAGTCTTTTCACCAACTCAAACTGATTTTCTCCCAGGCCTGTTCTTCATGGCTTATTATCCATTGATTCTCCTTCAGACCCTCTTGGGCCCAGCTTTTTCCCTGATCCCACTTTCCCAAGCTTGGAGTGAGGCTCCTTCTGACTCAGCCTCCAAGAATCATTAATTTCCTTCAAGATTCATTTCATGCACCACTTGCTACGTCCCTTCCCAATCCCCCCGTGGCCAGTACCTCTCACCCCCAAATTCCTTTGCATCCATCTTTTAGATGGCTATCCTCATGCCTGTTGCCTCTCCCCAGAATCTAAGTTTCTTAGATGTTCTTCCTTTGTCTTTGTGTTTCCAGCACTTCGAGTGCCTAGCCATAGTAGGTATTTGAAAATACTTGATTGACTATGAATTAGTGAGGTGTTAGAAATTATGGCCCTGTGTTTATCAACAAACATGTATCCACACATCAAAAAACCCAATTCATTTGATTTTCCCACATAGATGCATGTAGATTTTTGACATGGCTACCACATCCATTACCTGTGGGTGCAAGAATAGTGGACTTTGCACAGTAGTCTCTCCCACACTGCACACATGCAATCGGGCTGTTTGCACATCCTGACACTTTCTGTGGTGCCAACTCCTAAGTGCTGAATTTTTTTTTCCCAAATCAAGGCTGTGGCCACAGTTTTAAGTTAATACTGATATTTTCAGTGTTTCAGAGCGCTGATTTCAGCGTGTACTTCCTCCACTGCTGCAAATTGTTGCCTCACTGTGACTTTAGCAGGCAAAACTCACTTTACAGCCAATCTGGTTATAAGCCCATCAGAACTTAGTTTGGTTGGTCCAGTTTAGGGGGCACCCAACAAACCAAAGCTTGTGCTCTGTTGGCATAATCTTTGAGAAGCCATGAGGAGGCAGGCATCAGAGTAAGATACTAGTAGAAGAATCACAGGAATAACTCAAATAGGATGTTACAATTTACAAAGTATAATTTTTGCTAGCCTAATTTTACAGATGGGGCAACTGAGGCTCAGGGAGGCTAGGTGGTGTGCCCAGGGCCAAAGAGAGAGCCAGGACTCAAACACAAGTCTTTTGACACAGCATTTCAGTTCAGACAGCTCCTACTGAACATCACGCGCAGCCTGTTGGAATTATATTGCAATTAGCACTGCTTCAATGCTGTTTGAACTATATTCCAGGACCTCTATAGTGTCCCATTCATTGTCCAATAGGAGTCATTGACAACACTGAAGAAATAGTACCTAATGTACCTTTGGATGAAAGAGTGAGGTTATAAGCAGGGTCACAAAATGGAGCAGAAGTTTCCCTCAAAAAATAATTCAAGTTGTGCCTTGTCTTAGCCTCCCAGAGGATAAACGTCATCTTTATCCAGACCAAGTCCCATCATGGTAGCTTAAGTGAACTCTGTTCTAGGTGAGGGGACACTGATCACCAAGGGTAAGAGTTGTCATAACCCCAAGTGGCTCCTCAGGGAATACAAATGAGGGTGACTCAGGGATTTCAGATGCAAAGCATGTCTATCAAGACATTTGCCAGAGGCACATGAGAATGATAAGGTGTGCAAGACATGATGGGAGGAGACAGGGAGCGGTGGCATGGGAGGAAAGAATAGGAGGCTCTGCAAACTGTCATCAGGCAGTAAGGAAAGGCCATGGCTCAAAATTTTCTTTCTTCTTTAGGGGAAAGCCCAGGAATCTATCTTTGCCCTTCCTGCCCTCTGGGCTTCTCCACTCATGCCTTCCTCAGTCAACACATGCTGCTCAAACATCCTCCTCAAGTATTCCTGGATTCAGGGACAGGAAATAATTACGGGCTGGGAGATCTCCATCCAGACCAGCTGCTTCTACCTGGTTACAGCTGTGTAAGTGACAAAACAGAAACATTACAAAAACAGCATTCTAGCTCCTTGTGCACGAAGGCCGGACAAATGGATCCGAGAGAAATGCACAGCCTGCCTCAGAGCCCACAAATGAGGGAGATGGAAAGCAGCTCTGGGGAGTGGGATCTCAGCAGGATCCCGGATAAGAGCACTAAAAAGACCACACTAGCATTCCAGGAGGGAGATAAAAAAGGGTTTGGGCCATACAAGTGTGGTGAATGTAAGCAAGAATTTACATACAAGTCAGTCCTCATCAGACACAGGCGGACACACTCAGGAGAGAAGCCTTATGTATGTGAGAAGTGCGGGCAAGGATTTGCAAGGAGGTCAAGCCTCATCACACACAGGCAGACACTCAGGAGAAAAGCCTTATGTGTATAGTCAAGGATTTGCCCGTAAGTTAGACCTCAGTATATGTAGAGGAACACACTAAAGTGGGACATCTTACACACGTCAAAGACTATGAGCCAATTTGCCAAATCTGATCAAATATAAGCATACAATACAAGTAAACATAGCCCGTACTAGGTGACACACATAGAAAGAAATGGGACCCCTTCTTCTCTGGTCACTCTGAGACAGCATTCAAAAAGCCAGCCTGGGGGGCAGCTAGGTGGTGCAGTGGATAGAGCACCGGCCCTGAAGTCTGGAGGACCCTAGTTCAAATCCAGACTCAGACCAAACACTTAACACTAGCGGTGTGACCCTGGCCAAGTCACTTAACCCCAATTGCCTAAAAAAAAAAAAAAAAAACAAAAAGACAGCCTGACCACTGCCTAATCACTATTCTGAATATGGGGCAAAGAGTAACTGAATAGGCACAAGGCTCTCAGCAGAAGGATTTGAATAGTTAGCAACTAGTCTGAGGTTTAGTTTGGAGACATTATGCTTTTCCCTGTGTTTCTATTAAACATTTTATTACAATAAACTTCTTAAATCTTTATGCTTTATCACGAAGGAAGGATGGGGACGGGGGGAGGTTTGGTGGAGAAGACAGGAATCAAGAGAAAGGCAAAGAGAGCTCTTAGCCTAGGCTTAACACCTCATTGCAACTTGGCCCAAATGTGGATTCAATTTTGTAAATTTATTGAAGGAAACAATTCCATACATGGAGAAAGAAGGGGACTGGCCCCTGGGAGCTGTAGGGGTACCTGGGGAGAGTAAAATGGAAGAAGCCCCTGGACTTAATCAGGGGTCACTTGTAGAATTCATGTTCCTGCTCATCCTTCTTAATGACTGTTTTGTATGCCTTCTCAAAATCTTTGGCCAGCACAATGTATCGATTCTCACGAACAGCTAACATTCCACCCTGGAAGAACAGAGAACCTGGAGTTAATACATGAGTCTTCCTCAAACCACACCCATATCTCAGACATGTATATTTGAAGGGGAAGGATGAAAATGCCTTCTCTTTCTCAGCATCCTCAGGCCTGGAGAGGCCATGCTGACAAGTAAGAGGTGCCACAGTACACAGAGCTCTGGGCTTGGAATCAGGAAGATGAGTTCAAATACAGACTTACACACTTACTAGCTGCATGAACCTGGGCAAGTCACTAAACTTGTTTGCCTCAGTTTCCACAACTGTAAAAATGTGGACAATAATAGTAAATACCTTACAGGACTGTTATAAGGATTAGAGATTACCTGTAAAGTATTTAACACAGTGCCTGTCATATAGTTGGCAATACATAAATGCTTTGGAGAAGGAAATGGCAAACCACTCCTGTATCTTTGCCAAAAAACAAAACAAAACAAAACCCCAAATGGGGTAACGAAAATTGCACACAACTAAAAAAACTGAGCAACAAAAATATAAATGCTTATTCCCTTCCCACCTTGTCTTATTTTTGTATCCAACCCTGTACAAAGCATAGCAATTAACAAATGATTTTTGAATTACTGAGATGAGGGAGAAAATGGAAAAAACAGGCGTAGGTGATCTAGGCACATCTGCTAAGGCAGAATAAGGGTTTTAATGGGGAGAAAAATCACTCACCTCCTGACAGATAGAATTAATATCAGCTCCAGAAATCTTATCTGGGCGGGCTACATCTATGGGGGAAAAGAGTCAAGGAAATGGTTTTTTAAAGAACATAGAGGTGGGTAACTGGTCTCTGGTTGGAAAACCAGGGGCTGCCCTTCACCTTCATTTTCTCTATGTAGAATCCAAGGCATAGTGGTAAAGACTAGGTGACTTTTTACCACTGGGGATGGCAGGCTGGAGTGGAGGCAGGGGAATAGGATGGTACACAGGGAAAGAAAAAAACTTTCTCCCCATATCTGTCCTTAGAGCAGGATACAATCTTCCAGATCAACCTCCTCTGAAAGGTTCATCTTGCTGGTGATAGTAGAAAAAATTAATCTTTTCTGTCGACGGTCAGGCAATGGAAACTCAATCTTACGATCGAGGCGGCCAGGCCGGAGTAAGGCAGGATCCAGAGTGTCTGCCCGGTTTGTGGCCATGATCACCTGGTATTGGAAAACAAATCTTGCCCTCTCATCCTCCAGACCCCTACCCTCCCAAAATTTCACATGGCCTCCCAACCACCTTTTTGGCCCTGCTCCAGTACCCTTCCTGTTTTTCCCTCCCAATCCTCCAACCTTGACATTGACGTTCTGGTCAAATCCATCCATCTGATTCAAAAGCTCAAGCAAGATCCTCTGAACCTCCCGGTCAGCTGGAAAGAGGGTCCCACAGTCAATCCAAAAGCCCTCATTCCTGAACTGGGTCCCAGTTCCTAGTCCAAATTCAGAACTCATTCTCCCTCCCAACCTCCAGCAGCAGATTTACTCACCGCCAGTTTGGGCATCAAATCGCTTGGTAGCAATGGCATCAATCTCATCAATGAAAATGATGGCAGGTGCATTCTCTTTGGCCAAGCGGAAAACATCCCGAACCATTCGAGGTCCCTCACCTAGGTACTTCTGCACAAATTCTGAACCCACAACCCTGATAAATGCAGCTGGGGGTAAGAAGGGATGAAATCACACCTTTTTATCTCAGAAGTCTGAAATTCCCATCCTCCCATGTTCCCCTATCCTAGGAGAGGGAAAAACAAGTCTAGTTGTAGGTTCTGAACAGGCGGAAGGCAAATAAGCATTTATGAAGAACCTACTGTGTTCTAGGCATTGTGCTAAGTGCTTTACAAATATCATAATTGGATCCTCACAGTAACCCTGTGGGGTAGTGGTTATTATTATCTCCATTTTACAGTTGAAGAAACTCAGGCAGGCAGAAGTTAAGTTGACTTGCCATAGGTCATGCAAATATTTACTAATATCTAGGGCTAGATTTGAATTTAGGCCTTCCTCACTCCAAGCCTGGCACTCTATGCACTGTGCCACCTATAAGAACAGGAGTACGAAAGAAAAACCTATTGGCCATAGAATTTATGGGGCTACCATACAAGAAAAGAGTATTTTTCAAGACTCTAAGTGCCTCAGGTACAGAACTATTGAATCAGAGTCTGGCTAAAAGAAGAAGGGAGAAAGGATAGCAGGGAGAAAAGAATCAGAAACTTAAAAACTCCTTTAAGGCAAGAACTGACTTTCCCCCTCTTCTGTACCACTCACCTCCCCACCCTCCAAAACCCAACACAGGTACCTGATAAATGCTTGGTGTCAAAATGAAGAGACAGTAAGAGAATTCTATATTTGTGGACCAGGATTTCTCACCTGTTGTGTGATGGGCCACAGCCTTTGCCAACATAGTCTTTCCACAGCCTGGGGGTCCGTACATGAGGACCCCTCGTGGTGGGTCAATTCCAATCTAAAACCCCAGGGAAGAGCAAGTTAAGGACTCCAAGTCAAAGTTCCAAATATTCTACTTTCCCCCTATTTCTATTCATTCTCCTCACCTGTTTATAGAGCTCAAAGTGGGTCAGTGGGAGTTCCACAGCCTCTCTCACCTCCTGCTTCTGAATATCCATGCCTCCAATATCGGCATACATGACATCAGGCTTCTGGTCTGGAAGGACACAACGACCTTAAGACTTGGCCCTGTGTAGTCAGGACTCTGTTCTCTCAAGGCCTTTCATAGTACAAGGCAGACAGTTGACACCCCGCCCCCCCCCAACAACTTGGGTTCAAATCTTAGGGCTTACCTGGGTAACCCGGGCAAGTTATTTAAACCTTCCCAAGTTACAGTTTCCTCCCTCTGTAAGAGAAGGGAGGGTGGACTACACGGCCTTTTAAGTCTCCTTTAGCTCTAGATGGATGATCCCTGCCTAAGGTGGCAGGCTGAGTCAGATATCAGCGGGGGTAAGGGGAGGCTTTTCTCCCCACCTGAGGTCAGCATCATGATGCTGCTATCAGCTTCTGGGGGCAGAACATCCACCAGAGCATTGCTGTGTTTGTGGAGGGCCACGGAAGCATTGGGTTTCAACAGCTCCCTGTCAATGGTGCTGAGAATCCGGACGTAATAATTAGAACCTGGAGAGAAAGGTAAGGAGGCAGGTGGGGAAAATGAGGTCCATCTTTGGTCCTTTCCCACCCATGTGCTTACAAGCAGGGACTGACCCGCTGGGCAACAGGGGCACTTGTACTGGGGAGAAGTGTCCCACTGGCACAACAAAGGCTTTCAGTGGGACCCCCTCCCCAAGGGGCACTCGGTCAGCCGAAGTCTCAGGAGGAGAAAGGCAGCCAACCTGATACTGAGGGGTCACTCTCAGCTCTAAAACTCTCCAACTGGGGGGCGCCTGGGCCTCAGTTTACCGGTGGTGGAGCCCACAATGGCTGTGTTCTGGTCCACGGCCTCCAGAAACTGCCCGATGACCAGGGGGATGCTCTGGATGCGCTTCACCTCCTCCTGAGCGTGCAGGAACTCCTTCTTCAGATTCTTCTGCTCATCCTTGATGTACTCCTCCTGCACCTCCAGAAACTCCAGCTCTTGTTGCAGTTTCTGTAGGGACCACCAAGGCGGCGGCGGCGGCTCTGAGCTACCACCCGGTGCGCGTGGCCCGGGGCCGGCGCTGGATACGCGCAGGGCGCCAGGCACCGAGGGCTTCCCCTCCCCGGGGGGCGGCCGGGGTCCCCGCGCTCACCTTGTAGCGGCTGTACAGGTCCTCCAGGTCCTCGGGCTCGGGCCCCAGGAAGGACAGGCCGGTCTGGGGCCGGGAGATGGACACGGCCGGCAGCTCATCCTGGGGACCGGGGAAGAGGAGCGAGGTCGGTCACCTTGGGTCCCGGCCCCGCTCCTCCGTGCCCCGGCGCCCCCGGCCCGGCCGCCACCGCCCTCGCTGGGGCCGCCGAACCCACCCCCATCCCAGACCTGCGCCTTCTCCACTAGAATGCCGATCTCCTCCATCGCAAGCGGGCCGAGCCTGGGTCTCCGCCGGAACTGCCTCAGTCATTGCTTCCGCCGCTGTTCCGTCGCCGGAAGTCCAGTACCTCCGCAAGGGCCTGTGGGAAGTGTAGTCCGCTCATTGGCTCTCC